GGATCGATGCGTGGACTCCGTGGAGAGTGGCTACGTCCCCCACGCCACGGTCTGGTCATGCAAGACGTAGGCGCTCCCTCTCCTAATCTCCTTTCTAAGTCCTTGCAATTCTGTGTTCTTCGCGCTTGCATGCACGCTATAAATTTCGGTTGCACGATTAGATAGCTCCCTTAACCAGTTGCTGGAAGCTCGGGGTAGCGCGATCAGTGAGGGTTGCGCGGGGTTGACGTGTGGGGCTACGACGGACTGTAACGCGTGGGCGAACCTGACGGGTGTAGGAAGACTATGCGGGGTGACGACTTCGTGGGTTGGTGCGTGATGACAGACTATCCGCATCAGAGAGAGAGGAAGAGGAAGAGAGAGCTGAGGTTGACGGGCGTGGATTTGCAATTTTCTTTGTCTTTTCCTTTAGTTTGTATATAAGTTTTGATTTCGGCTCGAGCGATTCGCTCTCATTTCCCTTCGGCATCTTTGTTTCAATACTAGTCCTTGTATGATGTCTCGTTCTGTCTCGGTCCTCCCTCTTTTGTGTGTATGAGACGAACTAGCTGAGATGGAATGATATGTTTGTCGAATTTGCCTAGTCATCATCGTTGATTTTTCACTGTGATCCGCTGATTGATGTGATATGAGTTCTGATTATTGTTGCGATGTCTGGTGTGTGCTGACACCTTGCATGCTCGGAAATGACTACTGAATGATTAGATGATTGGATAGTATCCAGGATACGTGACGATTTTGCATGAGGGATCAAGTTCTCATTTAGGTAGCCAAGAGGCCCGGGTGCTAGCGAACACCTCGTGTGGATACGTGTAAGCGCGATCTGAAGCGTGCTGCCCACACGTGTCCACACGCGGCGAGTCGCGATCGTGGGGAACCTGGCACCTCCGGTATCATGATAGGCGAGGAATTCCCCACTATGTCGCAATGACAAGATGTCGGATACATGGGACTCAGGGTACTTCGAGCCTTGGGAAGAAAAAGAATATCGTAGGCGAAGATGCCCGGAATTCCCCTGCCTGACCGAGAACAGATTGTGCCCCAGGGAGTTCCACTGCGCCGTAACCAGTGATCCAAGGTGCCCCGATTACCCGACTACGTATAACACGCAATACTTCATATCCCTTGGCTTCGTCGTTATCGCTACCAATTTCCCTCCCTTCCGTCTCCTCCTTCCGTATAACCAACTCACGGTGGTACCGTGGAATTCCATCGCCCCACACTGGCCCCGCATGCCGTGCAGGAATTGCAGACGACGCGGCCACCGCCGAACCCTTGGAACTTCGGAACCCAATCATAACGCGCGGGGACAGACGCCACGTGTCTGCACCCGAAGGTCCGACTCATAAGAATCACGACCATCACGGACGGGCCTCTCCCCGAACCGCCGCCCCTAAAACAGACGGATTGGACGGCCCTGGATGCACCACGCATTCCATCTGCCTTATGCTGCACGACATCGACCGCCATCAGATCGGAAGTAACTCGCCCCTTAGCTCTATTGAATCTATGCCCATGAACCCTTGCCACAAGAGATCTCAGTTCCGACTTGGGACTCCACCCCCACTTTCCCCAAAAATCCTTGGCACACCCCTTTTCGCACTTCCAAGCCCTCATCCCACTCCGATCAGGAAGTCGCGACGGGCGTGAGGTTGGTATCGGAGCCCGACACATGGCTAGGTTCTAGGATTCATAGCTGGGCGATCTGACTAACAGGGGATGACCTCGACCCCGGAACGCGCTTCGAAGCGACCCTATCGTTACCAGAAGTCGGTCTACGGCTTGACGGGCGGTCAACATGAACGCTAATCAACAGAACCCGAATCCCCAACAGAACCCCAACCAACCGATAAATCCTAATCAACCCGCACCACGAGCACGAGCTCCCATGACGCCACCCGATCTCTATCTATTCGATCCTGCACATCACCTTGTTGGAGCATGGTTAGCCACGCTCCAGGCTCAGCAGTATGATGATAATGAGGCACAAGTGAACATTCCCACTCGATTGGGGGGAGATGCCCATCATTGGTTCAACACCTATGTATGGGTGGACCTCCCGACATTCGAGCGAGACTTCCTAAACCGATTTGATTATATTCATCCAAAACAAACCCTTTTTATGATCAAAGATCGAGTCCAAAAACCCCTTGAGTCTGTCCCCGAGTATCGAAACCGATTCTATAGGATGTTTGTGAAAACAGAACCGTGACGAGGCGAACAGGTAGGCAGAGATGTATTCATCGACGGACTTTACGGACGAACGATGGGGGCGAAACAGCGAAAACAATTCTCCCACATCAATCACACTCTGCAACAGATCATGGAAGCCGCAAAAGAAATGGAATGATAGTTCGCTGCAAGTTTCCTAGAAGGGGAAGACTATCCTAGGGAAGGAGACTCGTCCGAAATAGCGAGAGTTAAAGCTGAGTTGGCCGCACTTCGGAACAAATTTGAAAACATGGGGTTTGTGTCGGGCCCCGTCACCTATCTGGAACAGATTCGTCCCAAACGGCCGGTCTCGAGTGTGATTACAAGCATGCCCGTTCCCGTAATGACAACACCCCCGCCTCCGATCGAAAGTCCCCCACGACCGAATGAGTCTTCCGCCCTATTGGAACTAACCAAGACACTGGTTACTCTAATTCAGGAAAGCGAAAAGGAACAGCAGGAACATAATGCTCGAATAGAGGCAATGATGAGGTCGATGCGACCAATAGCGGTGCGTGCCGCGCCGCTTCAACACGGACTGGCTCCGACACCCCCTCCCGCAGGGATCCCTTAGGCTGGTAATCTGAACGTCTGTTATACGTGTCATCAACCAGGACACATAGCCCGAGATTGCCCCCATCGACCTCCGCAGCCGCAAGTCGAGGCTGCACCTGTAGCAGCAGCACCGATCGCTAACGGGCCGGGACAAATAAGGGCGCTGATGGAAGAAATGGAAGGAGGTGGAAACACATTACCTACAATGGAGGAAGCTGCTGAACTAATCTCGTTGGATCAGTACGTAACGCTCAGACATCCGAGGCTTGGGATGATTGGAGCGATTAGACCCGCGCCGGAACAAAGGGAAGTGGCGGAACGACGACCCTCTCCCGGAGAGAGGAGTCGGGAGGACCCACCTTCGTCACTGGGGAGATCCATCTTTTGAACATTGTTCGAGCCTTAGATCATCGGATTCCTCTTCCGATTGGTCATTTACTTTCGATATCGGAACAAGCCAACGAACGGATGCAACATGGCAAGGCGAATCGGTGCCCGGACAGCGAACACGAAAGCAAAAAGTCCAACACAAGACGAAAAAGTTGTCGGCATTTCAGACCCAATACGACTAGGATTAATCCAAAAGGAAGACCACTTCCTACGAATTAAACCAATCCCATGGAAATCCACAAAGTGCGACATCGAGATATGGGGAGTCCCGTACAATGCCATTATCGATTCTGGAGCCGTTGTTTTGGCTATCTCATTACGGGTAGTCGAAAGGGCCGGAAGAAAGAACGATCTGATCGTGCTTGCGAAAAAAGATCAGCTCGTTTCAGCAGACGGAGAGCAAATTAAAACAGTGGGACGGATGACCAATGTTGCCGTCCGATCAGGAAAAATGCATGCTTTAGGAGACATCGTAGTTTTAAACGTAAACACTTACGACGTCCTTTTTGGACTTCCCGCTCTTGTGGCCTTGCGAGCCAATCTGAATTTCGGGAGGTGATCGATTGTCCTCTGGAATATAGGAGGAAAGCCCTATGTTGTACCTATGAGGCTAACTCTTCGAACCACGACTAATGTAACCCCGCGAGTTTCTCCAATAATGGTGGGAACTCTTCGTGTGATTACCTGGGATAACTCTGCCGACGGTGAGCAATCTCTGAAGGACAGGACAACAGTGACGAGGACGATCCAGCAATTTTGGGAATGGCACAACAACGTACCTATTACCCTGTGCAACGGGCAAACACGAAATTACTAAGCCTGACTGACCAAAGTCTACAAAGAACGCAAGCCATGATTATGGGTGAACCCCTCGTGCAGATTTCGAGGATGGTCGATTCTTTGGAACCCCCTCGAACCCTGTACGAAGGTATCTCCCCTTTATTCGTACGATATAATGACAAAAGGCACTACTGCGACATCACAAATCTCCCTCGATCTCTTTTGTCAACTGCAAAAGAGATACGATTGATACGCTTGGGGGCAGAGACCAATTGTTTGGAACCCCCTGAGCGCCTCGAAACTGGACTCGGAATCAAAATCGCAATGAAACCTATGCCATGGCAGGACATCCAAGACGGAATAACGTCGGAAGAACACGTGGCCATTCGGGAGCAGGACGCACAAATGATGGTCACGATATTCTCCTGGCGATCGGATAATTCGTTTATTTCCGCGCCCCTACCTGAAAGCGCTAAACGGGTAAGTACAAAACAGATCGATGTACGGATATGGGATCAACTGTATGAATTGCACGTGCCTCAATACGTACCTGATGAAATCCATCACCTAATCGCGGACATTTTGAAGGAATACAAAAGAGTGATTAGTGTGACGGACACAGACATCGGACTGTCGTTAGTCATACAGCACGAAATTCAGACCGGAAACCATCCCCCGATCCACTGTAAGCCCTACAAGTATTCCCTGGTGGAACGAAAAATGGCCCTTCAGCGAATTCGGGAATTTGAAGCTAATGGTTGGATCCAACCGGCTACTGGGCCATGGTCATTCCCGGTAGTATTAGTGTCGAAAAAGAACGGATCGATTCGCATATGCATTGATTATCGCAAGCTGAATGACATCACGATTAAAGATGTATACCCCCTTTCCCGGATTGATGATTTGCTTGATGCGATTGGGTGTGCCAATTATTTTAGTAAGTTTGATATCCGTCACGACTTCCATCATATCCAGGTTAAGGAGGAAGATCGGCCGAAAACGGCCTTCGTACTATTTGAGGGCACGTGGCAGTGGGTCCGGTGTCCGATGGGTATTTGCAACGCGCCTGGCAGCATGCCACGTTTCAGCTGGCGATGAACGTGACGTTCCAGAACTTCGTCAACAAGACGCGGCTCACTCAGGGGATGATTAACTTCTGCGTCATCGTGTACATGGACGACATCCTCATCTACTCGGAGACCTATCACGGGCATGCAGAACATATCGAGTGGACGGTGGGAGCTCTGAGAGATGCTGGGTTTAAGATCGCACTCGAAAAGAGCGAGTTCTTCCTCTCGAAAATCTCGTTCTTGGGTTACGTGGTGACACGTGGAGGATTGCGGCCAGACTTGAGGAAGGTCGCGGCGGGGAAGGATGCTCCCATTCCCATGACATTGACGCAGGTTCGTGCTTTTATGGGACTGGCGTCGTACTATCGTCGCTTCATCAAGGGCTTCACCGCAATTGCGCGACCTCTAACAAACTTACTGCGGAAGGACCAGCCCCTCAGCTGGGACGCAGAGTGCGAACGGGCCTTCGCCACCCTCCAGGACGCCCTGGCGACAACACCGATTTTGATCTGGCCGGACCCTACGAAGCAGTTCATTCTTATCACGGACTGGCAGCCAGAGGCTATCTCCGCTATTCTAGCGCAAAAGGGGAACGACAGCCGAAAACACGTCATCGAGTACGCATCATGCACAGTGCCAGACGAGCGGAGGAACAATTCGGCCCCGCAGGGCGAATGTTACGCAGTGGTCCGGGGGATTCAACACTTCCATCCGTACTTGTATGGCCAGAAGTTCCTTTTTGTAACCGATCACGAGTCATTACTGGCTCTCAAGAACTTGAAGCTCGCTACATAAATGGGTATGATTGGACGGTGGGCGGTGCGCCTACAGGAGTACGACTTCGACATCATCCATCGAAAGACAGAAAGGCACGGCAACGCGGACGGCTTGACATGTCTGCATCGCCCCGCTAAGGTACCTAAGGGCGAAGAAATCATTCCGTGGAAGGAACCAGAATCAGCGAACGGACCCAAGTACGGACAAGTGGCAGTCCTTCCACGTGGCAAGAAGCAGGCGATTGGCAATCAATGACAGAGGTAAACTTGTGAATGCCCTCTCTCCCCTCTCATCCTCATCTCTTCTCTCCCTACCCCACAAATTTTGTTATTTTTGCGAAGCAATTTCGCACGTCTACTCGGTCCCTATGCGTCCTAGTGGGGAGGGATATGCAGAATGGATAGATTGTCGGCAGTGTGTCGCACGAGCCCATGGCTCGTGTATCCAGTACATAAATAACGATAAGCCTTGGTTGTGTTCCTTGTGTCGGCTTGATAAGATCCCGACCGAGGCTCGATTTTTTGATGCCACGTCCGTAGGGTTGGAAAAGACCCGAAAGTTTAGACGGGCCGAGGTATGGACGAATATCGCTCTAATAGCTACCTTGGTAGGAAACCCCCTCCAGGACTTCACTAAAGAAGACCGGAGGAGGGCCAATGAAAGGGCTCAGGACTATCATTGGAACGAGGGCCGGTTGGAAAAATGAAAGACGGATGGTAGTGGGATCTGGTTGGTAGTGCCGCACCCGTTCATGAGGTGTGACTGGGTTAAGACGACGCATGAGGAAACTGCAGCCCATTTTGCCGTACGGATCACGGAAGCGGCAATCGATAAAAATGAATGGTATTGGTCCAACATTTGTGACGATGTGAAATTCATCGTCGCGAACTCCCAGGTCTGCGCTGCTGACAAGGCGTCGATTCAGCCGCCAAGATCGATAGTGTCGACGGTAGTCGAACGACCTTTTCATAGGGTTAGCATGGATACTACCGATATTGTGGTGCCCCTTGGACCTTATAGCTGCGAATATTCAATCCTACTGGTACTTATAGACCACTTCTCAAAATGGATCGAGGCATTTCCGTGTCGTACGCGACAGGCAGCTGAAATTGCGCGATACGTCAACCGGTTTTTAGGGATGCATCATGACATAGAGGAGATCCTCACCGATAATGGGGTAGAATTTAGAGAGGAAGTTTTAAGGAATCTGGTCGTACATGGCGTCGCCCTTCGGAACATTGCACCCCACATGTCACAGTCTAACGACCTGGTAGAAAACACGAATCGGGTGATAAAGACAGCATTGCGAACGAAACATCGTGGCACAGGATCTGAGGCCCTGGCCCGATATCGTAGATCACATCCTGGCGGTCCATCGGGGAATGCCTCACGAATCGATGGGCCTTCTAGCCCCTTCCAATTACGAACCAATAGCGTAGCTTGTGTCTCGATACCGAGCATCCCCGATGAATCTTCATCGAACCGGCGGCCCACAAGAGCCACGGTTCGGGACAAGGCCAAGTGGCATATGGGGAAATGTGCTCGCCAAGGGAAGATAGCGCCACGATTCTTCGGGCGATTTCGTGTGATTGAGCTCGGCCCGAACGGGGTGAACACCGTGTGCCTCGTGCCGGAGGTCTCGGGAAGCTGATCGGCATGGCCGATCGTCCACCACGTGTGCTATCTACGTCTTCTCCCTTCCTCTCCATCTCCAGTTGTGTTTGCTTCCTCGACGACGACTCTCTATCGCTCTCATCCCCCCCTTCATCTCTCGCCCCTTCTCACACCCCGTCCCCATCGCCATCGCCATGAGTTTTCTCACCGAGCGAGCTCTCGGCGATCACATGTTGGCGCCGCGTGGCGACATTTCGGCAATTCGGCAAGTTCGTCATCCGCGGCTCAGTCCAGATCTGCTCCGACTCGCGCAGTTCTTCAGCACTACCGGGGTGTACGCGGCGGCAGAGTTCTAGTTCACGGGCCATCGTCAAGCGGTCGTGTTGGCAGAGGCGACGGCGGTTCGACAGTTGTGAGCATCAGGAGTTAGGACGTCGCTAAGGGAGTGGGGCCAACAGCTGGCAACGGAGTGGAATCAGTGGCTTACGCGCCGCGGCGACAATCTTGTCCCCACAGATGGCATCGACGCCGGAGGGCTTCGAACGTCTCGGCACGAGCCGGCGGTGGTGCTCCCTGAGCTTGTCCCTTTCCAGCACCCCCAATGAACCGCTCCCAGCTCTCTACCTTCGCTCTCCCATCTCTCTTCGCTACCTTCTGGCAATCTAACCTTTGCCCCCGTCTCTCCTTTCGTCTGGAATCACTCGTTGTTCCCCTCCTCGATGGAAGACAGTGGGAACGGTGGTGCGGACACTTCGTCAATCTTTCGGTATGTCTGGTCGGAGTACAGCTGACGTGGACGAGGGACATAGAGCACCGCGCCGGGAGCGAATACCTGGAGCTGTTGATCATCCAAGCTTGGAGGACGGAGGTGGAAGGAGACCTCCTCGGATTTCTGTCGGGATCGGTGCGACCCGGCCATCGACAGCTGATCGTACAGGAACTCACGATTCCCCTCGCGCAGCTGGTCGACGATCTCCCTCGCGATTTCGCTTCGCAGAGTGACGAAAGTCTAGTCCCGCACGTCCTTTCACGAACTCTAACGCCCCACCTGCAGTGGTCGGCCTGCCTCGAGGAGCAGGGCAGTGACAGTAACCCGCCATCGCAACGAGAATACCTGGACCCACGGAGGATAATCGACCTCGCCTTCTTTCAGCCTCCAACGACCTCCGAGGAAGAAGTGCTAACGCTAGAGGAGGAAGAAGAAGAGAGCGAGGGAGATGACGACGAGGAAAAAGGAGAAACCCCAGAAGAAGGGAGTTACAGCGAGCATAGAGAGGGAGAACAGAGCGAGGAGGAGGAAGAAGACGAGGAACAAGAGGAGTGTGAGTGGGAAAGCGTAGGCGAGGAGGCGGGCCGCGCAGAGACCCAGGAGGAAGATCCAGAGGCGGTAGCGCCGCGCAGAGAAGAGATCGCGGTCGATAAGCAGCCGCTAGAGTACGCGAGTGGGACGGATCTGCCAATCTCGGACGATCCAGCCAAGGATCCGGAGCCACCCAAGCCAGAGGATGGGGACCTTGCTGCCGAGACTTCGAGCGCACCAGCCCGACGGTGACGAAGCCGATCCCCCTCCCCCTCCCCCTCCGCCCGTCCACCAGTTCGAGCTCGTACCGATGCGGGGCATCGGGCTCCGTCCCCGGTCCTTATCCCGTCGTCCCCTTGACCACCTCACCCTGCGCCAGATCACCACCCGCATCACCTTCCCCCGCAATCCCTTTCTCATTGACACCTTCCGCTTTTTTTATGTCACCCGTCTTGCTGTCACGGTTCATCCCCAYCCCTCTACYCGGTGTGCCACCCCTGTCTTCTWTCTCCAYGCCCTTCTCTTCAGTGCCGCGTGGCGAGGCCACAACATCATCGAGGTTTACTGCATGATCACGGGGACTATCCCCGCATGCGAAAACCACGATCACTTCCGCACGACACTCTTCCCAACTTTCACCACCCTCTACCCCGACTATCTCGCATCCCTTCCTCATAGTGGTAATCGATTCCCTCGCTTTCATTGGATCATCCGATATCAGGAGCTTCCGGTGACAGTAGCGAGAATGGAGAATTTCCTACCCCCGCTCCCGACTAACCCACCCCCTCGCCATGCCCCCATGTATCGTCTTCCCTTTCCTCTTCCCGTCAGTCATTGATGCATGGTTGATCGGCGCGTGCCTCGACGATGGCACGTATAATCCCCTCCTTGGATTGAAAAGAGTCCTTCCTGAGGAATTTTTAGGAGAGAGTCACGTTTACCACAATGGATGACTTCCACACTCCTTCGCACGGTTGGTGGCAACGTAGAAAGCTCCGCGTGTCGATCGATTAGGGAGATCAACACGTGTCGTAATGACAAGCAAGCAGGAGCTTGCTTAAGATTGGAACCCCCTGGGCGTCACATATGTGACGAACCAATTTCTGTTCCGTGTGATTTTCTGCGCGATAACAATTAGGGGTCCTAAGATGGGAAGGTTGGTCCAATTACGGGAAATCAGGATCGAAGGGAAATTGCATCGGTGTCCTCGCTTCTTCGTCTTCTTGCGTCGCTTCTTTTCGGATGGATGGGTTCAGGGCTGGGCAAGTCCTCGGATGATCGGTTGAGGGGCGCGCCAATGTGCGCGCGAGTAATAATGATTGACGTCGTCTCTTTTTGTTTTGGCTGTCGGAATTTAGGCGCGGAGATCGCGTGGGAACTTTGCTTCGTTCTTTTCAATTTTCTTTTAAATTCCTTTTGAATCTTGTCGAGCCTTGACGACTCTCAAAACTTACGATTTTCTTCCCGGAATTTGTGTTTTTTGCGTTTTCGCATTAGATAGGAATTTTGGAATTTGGAATTTAGGATTTCCTTTTGCCACGCAATGCCTTCTGCTTGCGCGCTTCTTTTTGCGGCTGCAATGGAGCTTTGATTAGTCGGCGTCCTTAATCTTGCAAGTAAACGTAATTTTGGGCAGACGTCATTGTAACTGTATCTTTCTTCTTGAGCTTCGTCTTAACCTCTCTCGCTTTTTCCCTTTTGTTGTGCCTAGTTAGCCCGCGACCTGCATGCTCGGATCGATGCATGGAGAGTGGCTACGTCCCCCATGTCGCGGTCTGGTCATGCAAGACGTAGGCGCTCCCTCTCCTAATCTCCTTTCTAATTCTTTGCAATTCCATGTTCTTCGTGCTTGCATGCACGCTATAATTTTCGGTTGCGCGATTAGATAGTTCCCTTAACCAGTTGCTGGAAGCTCGCGGTAGCGCGATCAGTGAGGGTCGGCTCACGAGCGAAGTAAGGGGTAAGTTGAAGTGGGAGTCGGGCGACCCGACGAGCTGGTGCCGAATGCGCGGGGTTGACGCGTGGGGCTACGACGGACTGTAACGAGCGGGCGAACCTGACGAGTGCAGAAGGACTAAACGGGGTGACGACTTCGTGGGTTGTGGTGCGTAACCACGGACTGTCCGAATCGGAGAGAGAGGAAGAGGAAGAGAGAGCTGAGGTTGACGGGCGTGGATTTGCAATTTTCTTTGTCATTTCCTTTAGTTTGTATCTAAGTTTTGATTTTGGCTCGAGCGATTCGCTGTCATTTCCCTTCGGCATCTTTGTTTCAATACGGGTCCTTGTATGATGTCTCGTTCTGTCTCGATCCTCCCTCTTTGGTGTGCATGAGACGAACTAGCTCCGATGGAATAATATGTTTGTCGAATTTGCCTAGTCATCATCGTCGTTTTTTCACAGTGATCCGCTGATTGGTGTGATATGAGTTCTGATTGTTGTTGCAATGTCTGGTGTGTGCTGACACCTTGCATGCTCGAAAATGACTACTGAATGATTAGATGATTGGATAGTATCTAGGATACGTGATGATTTTGCATGACGGATTAAGTTCTCATTTAGGCAGCCAACAGGTTTGGGTGACCTCGTGTGGATACGTGTAAGCGCGATCCGAAGCGCGCGGCCCACACATATCCACGCGCAGCGAGTCACGATCGTAGCGAACCTGGCACCTCTGGTATCAGGATAGGCGAGGAATTCCCCACTATGTCGCAATGACAAGATGTCGAATACATGGGACTCAGGGTACTTCGAGCCCTGGGAAGAAGAAGAATACCCTGCCTGATCGAGAACTGATTGTGCCCCAGGGAGTTCCACTGCGCCGTAACCAGTTATCCGAGGTGCCCCGATTACCCGACTACGTATAACACGTTGTCGGATCAAACACCCTTACAAGGGTATTTGCTCATGATTTTGCATTCGATACAGTATCGACGCCAGTTGTCATATCAAGGACGGTCTGGAGTAAAAAGTGAGAATTTTTTTGGCGTCCCGCCGTGAAGCAAACTTCTCGACCATTGAGGCCGAGATTTCTAGGTGATCGTACGCAGTAATACAGTGCATACGACAACAGGTAAGGGTTAGTAAAAAACCAAAAGTCTTCGGCCGCGAGGGCCGGAGGGTTGGAAGAAAAACAAGAAAGGTCGCACGAGGTGCGCCGACCACAATCTAAAACCATTAAAGGATCAGGCGGTAAGGCAAAAATGAATTAGGATGAGTGACGAGGCGTCGGACCGGCAGGTATGAGAAAATCAGCAAGTCGCGCCGCCGTAAAATCTAAAAGACGATTGAGAAATTAATGTAACCCTGGCCATGCAGTTGGGACAGCCAAAAGAAACACACTACCTACCATAATAGGTAATGACAGTCAATACCGTTGTCCTTACTCAAATGCCGTGAGCGGGGTTGAGACTCCAACTCTGTCTCCCGTATGTGGTGAGGAAGTCAGCCCGAGTGGCGACTTCATGTTCGCTCGACCCCAAAACAACTAGTGTTTTCATCCCTTTACAAAGGGAGACACCGCTGCAAACTCTGACATCATCCGCACCGGGTCTAGAGTCAGGTTACTTGAACGGGTATCCGCCTATCTACCGGTGTCGAACCTATAAAGAATGCCAATGTTTGTTTTCTTCTGCTCAGCCTTGAGTACCCGACACGTCTACCCCTACTTAGTGTGGTACCGGCTTACCCGCCATTTGTGTGCTTTCCCCGCCGCAACCCTTAATGACGTGGCTATAGGTAAGTACCGGTCATTCGGGCCTTTTGGTCANTTTGTGTGCTTTCCCCGCCGCAACCCTTAATGACGTGGCTATAGGTAAGTACCGGTCATTCGGGCCTTTTGGTCAATTAGGTGCCCTTGCGGGCCACACACGCACTCAAGCCGACAAAGCAAGCCGACAGACATGCAGACCGGCATGCGTACACACACGCAGACTTGGAAACAGACTCATGCCACTGGGTGGGCTGAGCCCCAGCCCCGACACTCTATATGTATGTGGGCTGCTCCACTTTTACTTGAAATGTGAGCTAGCTCAATGGGTCTCGGGGCAGATTGTCAAACAAGAGAGATAGGGATCGAATTTGCCCCGGATCGTGAGTGAGCCTTTTTGATATAGAGGAATCAGCACTTTAACCCCGACTTCAGACGACCAGGACTTGAACCCGTGACCTCCGTATTGGGGTTAGTTAGAAGTTAGTTTGAAGTTAGACCCCAGCTCCGACAGTTGATGCCCCAGGGTGACCAGTAGGTAGATTCCCTTTTCTTTATTTATTGTTTTTTTTTTTTTTTTCTTTTTTTCTTTTACTCTTGTTAGATTTTGGTTAATTTTTATCTTCTTATTTGATTTACCTTTCCCAACGAATCTTTCGCGGATTTGACAATAGGTACATGCGGTTCGTGGTGAACTTGTCGGATGAGCTCCGACTGAGGCCTGCCCGACCCAGCCAAGAACAAGGGCAGAAGAACTCGGACTCCGATGAACACGGGCACAGTTAGAAGAAGGGCATAGCGCCGGGAAACGGAGACGTTGGCATAGGCACGGCGCAGGGAAGAAAGAGAGGGGAGCACGGGGAAAGCAAAGGAAGATAGCGCGCACGCTCGGAAAGAAAGGCGCGCAGGGGCAAAAGTAGAACGCAAAGAAGAAGAAGAAGAAGAAGAAGAAGAAGAAGAAAAAGAAGAAGAAGAAGAAGAAGAAGAAGAAGAAGAAGAAGAAGAAGAAGAGGAGAATGAGAGGAAAAAAGTCGCGGGGAAGGTGGTGCACGCGGGTAGAGTAGATAACCAGCGCAGGGATAGCGCAAGCCGGTCGAGAGTGAGCGCGGAGCAGGCAAGACGGCGGGCAGAGCATCACAGGGGAGAGGCGCGCAAAGAAGCGGGAGTAACAGCAGTGAGGGAGAAGAAAAAGTAAAGAGGAAGAAGAGGAAGAAGGAGGAGGAAGAGAGAGGAGAAGGAGAAGGAGAAGAAGAAGGAGAAGGGGAAGAAGGGGAGAGGGAGCAATACTCACCTCACTATGTATCCATCGGTGGCATCGTGAGGGCGGACTGTCATCCGTCCGACTTGGTTGGAAGGTGCATTTGTGCCTGCAGAGTCTCCCACGTTCTATGCCCTCGGAGTATCAGGCATCGCCACAAACTAGGGAGCAAACGGCTATCGACGACGACGACCGTGACAACGAGAGTGACAGCGTGAGAGAAAGGCAGCAAGTCAGTCTTCCTATCGTTGCGACTGACTCACTTTATTTCCATCCATAGGATAAGCTAAATAGAATGAATCTACCGCTAGAACATGGAAATATACACCGCCATACTCGTTAGATTGTGTGTGTGTGTGTGTGC